AATTTAGTATTAATTACACATTAATAACGTTTTTCCCCACTTGCTTGGATCTTTAGGAAGTACCCCAAGCTACAGCTACAAGGTCTTTATTCTACATTTTTCACAGTTTTTTTTCCATGTGCTGGCTTTGTTACTGTAAAGTGTGGCGCTATTGCCCATATTATCTGCTCACGGGGTTTGTGAGAGTGTACTAAATCCAAGTCCTAATAAGGGAAGACCACCCCTGAAATACCCTGCTATGCCATTAAGTCACTTTCCATATGTTAAACCACACAGAGGTGTATTGTAGTGATTACACAAGGAACTGTATAATCACAAATATGAATACATCCACTCGTCTCAGATTGTGATTGAACACATTTATCACAACTGTATTTTCATGGCTAATGAATTTTCCACAGTTGATTAGATTTATTGCACTTAGTGCACACATGGGTGCATTCTAGTTGCATTGAAGGAAGTGTACTACATGTCATGGCACACAAGTGTTAGTTGCAACATTTCCTAATTGGTAGAATGATTTAAAACAGGCTTAGTTTGTTGAGCAGAGACAACTTTCTTTCTCTGCACAGACTTGTAGAAGATGTAATCTAGGTGTGGTAGCAATGATTTTATCCAATATACTTTCAAAATACTTGGATTATCACTGCAAGACTACAAAGACCTTTACTTTGTCAATCCTGCGATGTATACTGCTCTCGACTAACATCAAACGAATGGGATCTGATGAATTTATGTGGCTGTAAAAGAGAGTTTTGGGCTGAGCATGAACGGCCTCACATCTGTCCTCAATCTTCAGTATGCCATGTAATGAGATCACAAGGCCTTTGTTCTCTCCTTGAGGAGAGAAGGAGCTGGGGGGGGGTCTAAAGCTCAGGTAAGCTTGTGTATGGGCCTGAGCTGCAAGTTGTAGCTAATGAAAAACATTAGTGGACAGCTATGGAGAATACGGCTCTGCTGCTGAACTGGGGGTCTTACTGGTGGCCTTTAAACCATTAAACCATGTGGCTGGATCACCAGGACTGACCAAAGGTTTGGAATCTCTCACAGATAAAAGCGGCGAGTGCAGCTGAGTCTGAAATTCTTTCATATCTACACTAAACAACAGCATACTTACCACAGACTTATTCATAATATAGACTGTGTGCGTGAGCGTAGTCACTGTGACACTTTGATGTCACCCATTGGTTCGTGGACTTTGTATTTGAAGGCTCGAGTTCGTCATTTTGGCCATCGCCATCTTGTTTTTTTGGAACCAGAAGTGACACAAGGGGGTGGAGCTAAGTACAACCGACGCTGAATAAAACATTGTTCGGCGATCAAAATGTTACAATTACCTTTCATGAACTAAAAACAAACTGTTAAAGGGTTAAATTTGTAAGACGAAATGGTCAACCACCGCACCCGACAATGTCACGGTAATGACCTGACAATCACAAGGTAACCACTTCCTAAAACGTCCTCTGCTTTATGGTCTGCTTGACTCTAAATGGGACCATTATTTACTAAATGAACATTATGCTTTATTGAAGATGAATTGAAACTAGCGATTGGGACCAATAACTCATGTTTACAATGTTTACTGAGTAAGAAAGTGGCCAGCTGGAAACAATTGCTGATACACGTTGATTATTAGTAGTTCAAAAACATCCAAAACCACTCTGACACTTGATTCATCACCTGCTTCTGGTTTTATATCAGAATGCAAATTTGATGTTGCCCATTTCCTGTTTTAACCAAGATATTAACAAAGCTAGTATATGCTTATCCATTCTGTCTGTTGATCTATGATTTATGGCTGTTACCATAGAAAAAGGTTCAAAGGGATATTCTGTAAAATCGTTATATCATTAGATTTAAATTTGACAATCTTACAATTCATATACTTTACACACTATCTTCACGCACACCAACAACTCATAGACACATCTGTGTATTAGATGATGGTAACAATCACAGAGAGCGGGTTTTGAAAACACTAAAATAATGCTTACATTGCTCCACGTACCGCTATAAAACTAATCCCATTTTAATAGGGTTGTAATCTGATAGAAAGTCCAACAAAGCCGGTCGCTGGGGAGTTGCAATAATGTAAACCCCACAGGTGGATTCAATATCCAACCCCAGGAGGTGTTTTTTTTTGGTAACAGGGTGGAAGTCCCGACACAAGCCACATCTTATCCCCTGGAGATGGACCAGAAGCAGTGCTTCTGGTGCTTCAAAGGGCTTAGCAAGGTGAGCAGGCATCAGCCTCCAGCATTAGCTACTCAACACCGGGGTTGAAGTGGAGCTGCGATAGTTCTAACTAGACCTGTTTGTTGTTTGATGCCATAGAGAAAATGCCTTTACCCCTAATGGAGCATTCGTTAGTTTTACTGCCGTTACACCTCGTAAAGCACGTTTGGATCTCTCCTGATCGTGTGTCGTGTGAATTCCAAGTAAAGGGTACCCCGTCCCGTGTATGTGTCCCTTTTCAATTATCTGATTTTACACAGGATTTTGTTCATGTTTAAATGTAATACTTTTACTTGATATTAAATGTAATCCAACATGTGATGTATTTGTGATAAGTTTCTAGGATGCCCCATTGGTTATTATAAAGTAGAACCACTTACTACTTGTGTTGTTTTCTTTTTTTCACCCAAATAAGCTTTATTCTATTGTTGTGTTCTCAGTTCTGAAACAGAAAATGTCCCCATATATACTTAGAACATCCCCATGGGTGCCATCTATCTTTCATAATTCATTGTCTATGGAGCAGCTACACACTTTATTCTTGACGACATCACATGTGTACTAATACCTTTTGGACTGTCGTAGACCAATAGGAAGAACATGTATGACTTTTAAAAAATGGGTGTGGTAAAATCTACTCATCCACTAAAATAGAAATGTGAAATAAGAAGGAATATCACAACATTTTTTATAGATTGCCACTTTAAACACAAGTGTTTTCTAAGTTTTGGACAAGATTTAACTTCCATATGGATAAAAACTAGGTGAATGTACACAGTCCTCAACTGTAACTGTGAATCAAGACTGACATATTTGTCAGCGCACCTTAAAAGCTTTTTGTTCACTCCCTGGGGCTATAGAAAACTAAAATTATTTTGAAATCGGCAAGAGCTGAGGAACACACAACATTCTGTACATAACACATGCTAATCCTCGAACACGTTGTACAAGTTTCTCTTCTTTTCAGTACCACACCCTCCAGTTCCCTATTAGTAAACACAAATTCTGCTTATTGGAATTTAACAGTGAGGCATGATGACAAGGCATCATACGATCAACCTGACACATGATTCAGTCTCACATTTTTTCATTAATTTTCCTCTCCAGATCAACAAGACAGCGTAAAAATGGACTTCCCTAAAAGTAATTAGGCCTTCAAAGACTCTTTCCAACTCTCCTGTGATTTTGTAATCTAATATAGCTTTAGTCGATGAAAGTCATTGTGGACAAACATCTGATTTCTTTTCTCATAATAACCTGGTTGGTTGGATGGAAATATGCAGTACCTTAGAATCTGATGACAGACACATCAGCCACAGTCCTAACATTGCTCCATGGCATTGCAGACATTCATGATCCCAAGTGAATGACTCTTAATGACTTTGGTGAGCATCTGACTTATCGTTTATCACCAACATTAGGCTGACATTTTTTGTTTGCTGGATGGATTTCCATGACAGTTTTGTACGTACATTCAAGTTTCCTTTAAACTGAATCTTTGTGAGTTTTGTTGAACTCCGGACCACCGTCCAATTTGACCAGCAGGTCACATTTTCAGATCGTCACTTCATCCATCAAACAATTTCAAGTCCTCAAACTTACACGGCAAAATACGTCATTTGTCCATGCCACGTAGAACGACATCAGCATGCCAATGGTCAACAAACAGCAGGAGACAACGGTCTCCGTCTACCAACATCATCATGTTACACTGTTGAAAAAGAAATTCCTTTCATAATGTGACTAAAGGGCTTTATAGGTGTAGGGAAAAACAAGGCTTTGGGTTCAAATAAGTACTTTGTTATGGTTAGAGCACCTCCATCGTCATGATGACAAAACTCGTCGCTATGTTGTTGTTGTATTTTTAACCCAATTATCTGCTTTGACCTCCTCCCTACATGACCTTTGTGACTATATGTCACCTGCCTCCTGACTGCTAGAGGGCCTTGTTGCACGAATGCAAATGAACTTGCTGAACCGACTGAGTTTTGGTTATATAGGTCATAGAGATTTCTGTATTTGTGCTTGTTTTTTTTTTTTGCCTGAGCGCTTCTCAGTGCTTTAATGGAAATATTCTCATGCAACAAACATAATTTAGCAACATTTGAGGCAATCTGATTGAGCCACACTCAAACAATCCAAAAGAAGCACCTTAACTGAGGTTGTGAGCGTTAAAATCACACATATTTATGTTACAGAAAAATTCCTGGTATTTAATGATGACAGTGTGTATATATAATATATACATATTCCCATAAATTACTAATGCCTTTTCCAGAGTGCTTTTAATTCATCATTTGTTAACAATTCTTTTCTGCTGATAGTATACGTGGATTAGCCTAAATACATGTATTTTCAAACATACTTTCTGACAACATACTCAAAACACAGCTAGAACAGGTCATGCAACCGAGACACAATATGGGAGCATTAAGTGTTTAAATGCAGTTAAAAGATAACTGCGTCACTCAATTAGTAATTACCACATTTATTACACTCCTTGGACCTCTCATCTAACGCATGGGACACAAGCGTGTGCGTGTGTGAACGCGTGCATGTGCGCGTGGGTGCGTGTGCGCTGATTGTAGTCTTCTGTATGTTGAGGCGTTCATACATCTCTGTGCAGCCAATAGGGAGGCTCCTGTTAATCCCAGCTCGCTAAATAGGCCGGTGTGAGTGCAGCGCTGAGGAGAGAGTCAGTGCAGACAGAGAGGCAGAGAGAGAGAGAGAGAGACTGCAAGTTTCTGTTTTGGAGATGTCCGGTATTCAGCAAAACTTTCCCATCACTTTACTGCATTTGGGAGGTTTGTGAAACCCCAAAGAGGAGACATAGCGACCCGCTGTCTGCGTTTTCCACAGTTATCCCAACTATCACCGGCTCTTCTGAGGGATTGCGCCGTGCAGCATGTCACATTCTAGCCCTACACACTCCGCGAACATCCCGTTCAGTCCGGTCGTCATGTCCTCCGGTGATGCGTCGGCGCAGAGTCGGCGGACCAGCGTGCTGTCTTGGGATCAGGTGCAGCGTTTGGACTCCATCCTGGGGGAGAGCGTCCCGATCCACGGCCGCGGAAACTTCCCCACGCTGTCCGTGCAGCCCCGGCAGATCGTCCAGGTGAGACCACGGTCCATCCAACTTTTAATATGGTGTTACAAATATAAAAGAAAGCTCAAATTAAGTCTCGTGGTGAAGTAGGGGAATAAAAACCTTAGTTTTTGCTTTTTTGCTTTTTTGCTTTTACTGTGGTTTGAGTACCAAATAAATCAGCCCCACAGGGCAGACGTCATGCATAACTTCTTTCATTGGGACTTCTTCCCTGGGAGAGAGCCATTTAGTAAAAGCGGTCTATGGATTCAGTATAATGACACAGTTGTGTCTGCAAATCACTTGTGTCATTTCAATAAAAAAATTGTCAAAGTAAACCGAAGGGGAAAAAATAGTTTTTAATAGTAAGGGAGCTGACCAGGTTGAAGAAATTCACACCCCCACCTCCCCAGAATGATAAATACACACTGACATATTTGCATATTGTGAAGTTGGATAAAATAGCATTGAGTGTGTTTCACATCATTATCAACATTAAAATCAGCTGACACCGATTATATGTCCTGTGAGTCTGAAGAGGGTTTTCGCTGGACTTCTAGAAAAAAATGTAACTGTAACACCACAAAATCACCCTTGCTTGACTCGTACTGTACATTGCCACTGCTTTCACACACTTGTGCAGTGGTAAGGATCTGTGTCTGAGCTGATTACACTTAAGCAGACATTTGATCACTCGCACATTTAAAGCAGTCATAAAAGTCTAGATGATCTAACATGACTGCAATGTTCCACTAGCTCACTGGATTTTCTCTTGTGAAAATGAGGAACAGATAATGACTGAGCTGCTGTTTATTTAGTAGGAACAAAATGTACTGGATGGGGGAATGCCTAGGTTGCAATTTCCCTGGACATCAATTAAATGTCTTTGCATGTACGTCCAGGTTCATATTTCACTGAGTGATTCATATTTTCTGTGGTGATCCTGTGGGGGAAACAAAGAGACCCTCACACATAAACATTTCAGGGGTAATCAAGGAGGCAGCGATCATCTACACTGAACATCCCCACTATTGTATCTCCTTCATTACACAAGCCTGGAGCTTGCTAACATTTTTGCACGTTGGATTTGGCATTGCCTTATACAAAAAAAAGATCCTTTGGTGAGTCATAGGTCAACAGAACAAGTTTCTGTTTGAAATGCAAAAACGTCTTATGAAAACAAAAGCGGCCACATTTCAACCATTCAAATTTAGAGGTCCTACGAGAGAGATTATGCTTTGTCAGTTTTACAATGGAGACATCTGCCGCAGATTAAAACCATCTCTGCGTCTCCAGAATGTGTCTGGTGCCGATGCCGACTGGAACATATGAAGAGCGGTACCTCTTGAAGTTGACTTCATCAAACAGTATGACTTTATTACAAATAATATATGAATTCCGTTGGCACAGTGCACCCTGTAAGTATAAAGTGGTTTGAAAAGCCTGCACTGCATCACCATGCAATGATTCCATTATTTTTGACAAACATAATAGCGGACGCCATGTTCGCTGTCATGGAATTTGTCAAGTGGGGTTTCAAGTCTCTGCAAGTTGATTTTTCTACCATATGGCCATGAAGGGAAACCAATGGCTGCCTGGAAGGAAGGAAAAACGCGCTCAGTGATCTAAACCACTATGATATGTTTTGGAAACTGGTTGACAGTAATGTGAGGCATGCGTGATTTAACGCAAATGGGCTAAAACATGCGAAACCGCCGGTCTGCTCCTTTTTTTTTTTTTTTTAAATGTCATTTATTTTTAGCCTACACACCAGACAGAGCTGTCTACCTGAGACGCCTGCTGTCGTCACACACTGGGTAAGGTGACCGAGCGATCGCACTCCCGGAAGAGTCAGAGGAGCCCCTCTCAATGGCGGGTTTGTCTGAAGGCCACATTCAAATACGTAACATCTGTTTGTGGTCTGGTTGTGAGTGTGCCTTGGGAGCAGTGCAGGAAGACTTTCACTGTTACTGACACCTCTGTTCTCTCCATTTAATGTCCACAGTCGTCAAAACCAGAGTCAGAATATTTTGCACTATGTTCCCTCAGCAGGCTAAATCTACAGAGACCGTATGTACCCGGTAGCGTCATACCACATGATGAAAAACACAGATATCTGATGTGTGTGTGTGTGTGTCATACGTTACGTAATTTGTTGAGTGGGTTTATGTGTGGGGGTGGAGCTATGGAGGCCAATGTGTTTCTGTTGGCCACCAAGTGGCTTGTCTCTTATTCCAGCTCCGCAGGTCATCATATTTAAACTGAATGGTTTTAACTACTGGAAGCAGTACATCACTTTTGCCGGATGGTAGAGAGAGCGACCTGGATTTGAAGCTGATTGTGAGTGGTGGATTAGTGCCTGTAATAACACTGGGCTTGCGGGTCAGGCTTGACAATGTGTCACTGTGGTAAGTGAAGACCGGTCGCCTGACTCCACTGTGGCCCTCGCCAGAATGTAAACCAACTTCTCACTAGGCTATTGTTGAGAATGAGCAACATGAAGACACCACATGCTCCCTGAGGTAACACTCAGTTTAGACCATTCTGTAATGGTTTTTATTTGGCAGTTTGCTTTCAATTTCTGGCTTTCAATTAATAATTTTGCATCCGATAGCATAGTTACTTTTTACTTCAAAATGAAGCTTTCCATCACTTACTGTGTGCCGACGGTGGCAGCTACTGTTAAGGACACCGATCACTTTTATTTTTTCCACCAGGGGTTTTGTGACTTGAGAAACCTTTAATGAAGTTATTAAACCTATACCCAATGGGTATTTATAATGTATGATACAGTCTGAGTTACTTAATTTAGGCAGCCCTTGAGCTGGTTGCAGTTTCACCGATGGAGAATAGCTGGATTTTTCTTTCAAATCCTAAGATGCTATCACAGTTACACGATCTATAAGGATGGCTCTTCTTACCATAGCTTTCAATCCCACCCGTTTTATTTTACATAGCTGTACTAGGTTCTTTGAGCCAGCCAACTCAAATATATTAAAAATGTTTGTGAACCCTTGAAGCACATCCTTCAAACATCCATCTCAACAAGGAGTAACAGCATCACGTTTCAGTCAACCTGATCTGAGCATACAGGTGGAATGCATAGGAAATTGAAGGACTCTTTTTAAATCAGAGGAAAAACCATCATCATCCCCAGCTGCCTGCAAAGCTACCGTGCTACTCATTGGCTGGGGTGGTTTTGGAGTGAAGACGGGAGGTCAGGGACTCGTAACTCCTCATTTGCTGTCGCCATATCCTTGGCAGAGGTATCATCTGACTCACCGCCCAGAGCTCTCATTGGTGTCCAGGGGACTATGGGCTGGCAAATGACTGGGTCATTTCAACATGACATTATAAAAAAAAACACATTCAGGCTGCAGCTTAAATGAAACACTTAAAGGAAACTATTGAGACCGGTCTGGGGAAGGAGGGTGGAGGGCCTGCTATGTGTCTCCAAGGTGTTGTCAACGCCAGCCTGTTTGGTCTGGCTTTTCAGCTCGAAACGTCGCAGGAAGTGTCTCCCCTCGCTCGGCTCACCAGGTGCTGGTGCGTCATTTGGGAAATGCGCTAGCCTGTTTTATGAGTGCTGAAGAGCGGGGATGGCGGGGGTGGCAGAGCTGTGCTTCCTCATGCGCCCCAGCGTGATCCCCGGACAGGCAGATCATGTTGTGAACTCAGACCAAATGTTTTAAGTGTGAGGTCAGAGCAAATACTGCTGTGGGTTTCCCTCGCTGGATAAAGGAATCCACTTATCTGTGCCCTGTGAAACCCTGTGTAATTTAGCTTTACAAAAGCATCTAACTTTTTCTCATCGGATTGCGAAATCATATTGTGTCTTTACTTAGTGTTAGCTTGCTGTTAGCCTGCCTAGATTGATAGCTGGTAGGGCAACAGCAGATCCCTGCGGCTCCACAAGAGTCTTCTAAAAGACAGCTGTGCTTTGGATTTCTTCAGATTTGGCCTTGTTTCGGTGTTTTTATCCTCTTAGTGCCATTAAATGATGCAGACAGGAAGCATAAACATCTCAGGCTGTCTGTAGCTCTGACGTTTTCCCAAGCATCGCAGCAGTGCATGTGCTCCAATAGCCAGATAAACCTTCGCCAAAGAGTGTTAATGTGACAGCAAAGGGATCCCGTTCTCTCAATGTGGTCACAGGGCCCAAGTTTAAAAGTTCACAGCTTTGTTTATGTCTCTTACAGCAGACAAGCATTGACATGTGATTTCACACAGCTTATCTCTGTTGTATTGATGTTGCTTCTACTTCAGATATGAAGAGAGGAGTTTTCTAAATCGGGTATGCGGTTGATTAGAGCGTTGTGTAGGGTATTGTGTCCCTTACGCAACAGGATGGTCTTTGGTTAATGACACTGATCTTTGAGCGGAGGATGACGGCCTCTAATCTGGCAATTTGTTGTCAAAGTGTTCTTTAGCAAGATGCTGAAAGCCGTCCTGCTTTAGGAATCTGCCACGGGCTTTCTCTGACTCTGCAAGTAGCTTCTGCATTCACCTGCAATGACATGTTCCAAAAAATGCTGAAATCCTGCGGTGTTTTCACAGTAAACTGATTTTCTATTATTAACACATTTTGCTTCTAAATTTAAAAAGTCGAGACATGTGTAACTAAGTATCTACATAAACATGCGCACATTTGTAAATATATGAAAAATTATATATTTTATTGTTCTTTATTCATACCAAACTTGTTTTCCTTCCTTTGTTCTGCCATCACATTGAATGAATTAGATATCCAAGAAGATGTGATTCATGCTTCATTGCATTGAAATTACAGCACTTGAGATTTTTTTTTCATTTTAAGCAGCAAGGAGAAAGCAGCTCACTTTTTACATGTTCATCCTTGTATTTACTGTGTCAGCCTCTTCTGGTTGTTTCCTTTTTGTCGATACCCATCATTCAGTTTTTCCTCCCCGTCTGTGTACCTTTCAGGTGGTCAGGGCTCGACTGGAGGAGCGGGGCGTGGTGGTATCTGACGTCAAGCTGAACGGCTCAGCGGCCAGCCACGTGCTTCACCAGGACAATGGCCTTGGCTACAAAGACCTGGACCTGATCTTTGGCCTGAGTCTGACTGATGACACAACCTTCCGAGTGGTGATGGACGTGGTTCTGGACTGCCTGGTGGACTTCTTGCCTGAAGGGGTGTGCAGGGATCGAATCACCGCCATCGCCCTGAAGGAAGCGTATGTGCAGAAACTGGTGAAAGTTTGCAAAGAGACGGACCGTTGGAGCCTCATCTCGCTGTCCAACAACACCGGCAAGAACGTGGAACTGAAGTTTGTGGACTCCCTGAGAAGGCAGTTTGAGTTCAGTGTTGACTCCTTCCAGATCACTCTGGACTCGCTGCTGCTCTTCGACCGCTGCTCGGAGACGGCTATGTCCGAGACCTTCCACCCTACGGTGCAGGGGGAGAGCAAGTACGGAGACTTCGAGGAAGCTCTGGGTCACCTTCGCTCCAGGACTATTGCCACCCGCAACCCGGAAGAGATCCGCGGCGGCGGGCTGCTCAAGTACTGCCACCTGCTGGCGCGCGGCTTCCGGCCGTCCTCCGAGACTCAGATGAAACAGATGCAGCGCTACATGTGCTCGCGCTTCTTCATCGACTTCCCCGACATAAACGTGCAGCAGAGGAAACTGGAGGCGTATCTGCAGAACCACTTCGTGGGCATGGAGCACAAGCGCTACGAGTGCCTGGTGACGCTGAGGCGAGTGGTGGACGAAAGCACCGTGTGCCTGATGGGACACGAGCGCAGACAAACGCTGGCACTTATTTCCGCCCTGGCGCTGCGCGTAATGGCCGAACAGAACGCTATCCCTGCTCTATCCAACATCACCTGCTACTACCAGCCCGCTCCATATGTCAGAGACGTCAACTTCAGCAATTATTACGTGGCACGAGTTCAGTCACACATGGCTACATGGAACTCTTATCAAACGTGGCTGCCTTGCAGTTGAGCAATGACTTTTAGGGATGTGAGGAGAGCTTTCCGATTTGACTTTACGTTTTTTGTAAGCTGAGCATTCATACGAGCGCTCTGTGCTTCTGTAGCAATGTGGCTTTTTTTGGTTTGGGGCCCATCGTGAACAAAAAGGAATTAATCTGTCTTTTTTTTGCCAAATCTTATATCAAAACCGTTCCACTAAGTTATATTGATTAATACTGCTGTAAAGACAAATCTAATTTGAGCCATTATAATTGTGACTTTTTATTCTGTTGTCGTTTCATAACTAATGTGGACATGTACGGGAAAAATATGAAGGGTTGATATGTGACGGAGGACCTTTGCCAGGTCTGTTTCTTGTCTGATGGAGGCTTGCATTGGGTCTTTAATGAATTGTAAATACTTTATGCGGAACCAGTTTTTTGTTCTGTCTGTGGTTTCAACTGACCTGTTTGGGAGGGGAAAAGGACCAAAGAAAAACTTTCTTGTGTAGCATAACAAACAAAGACTGTATGTGGTCCCAAGTGCCTGCAACTTTCCAACTGTCTTTATAGCATTTGCTCTGTAATAATTGTTTTGGAAACTTTTTTTTTTTTATCCAGGTTACTTTACATTTTTATATCCAGGGTCAGGGTATTTGTTTTTAAATCATTAAAAGAATATTATTAAAAAAATTGAATCATATGGTACATTGGTCTTTCTTTACATTAAAAAATAAAAATCATGGAGGTAAGATACGGACAAACTAATATGCTCCAGTTGACTCAAATTAGTCTGGGGATTTGCGTCATGAATACTCTCTCTCCATTCTGTGTCTCAGTAACTGTGCCTCTAAAGATCTCCCTCAGTCTGTCTTGATCACACACACACACACTCCTCAGTGTGTTGTCTGTGTTCCATCAGCCAGACACTGACTGGCCTGACACAAATACTTACTTGTTCAAACTCTGCCCCCCCCCCCCAGAAACTGATTCCTCTGAGCCTCAGCATATACATTAGCCATTTCCTTTCACTTGTGCATCTGACAAGGGGTTTCCTTGGCCTCATTGAGAACGGGGAGATTGCTGTTGCTTGTCTTGGACGGGTTAAGCTCTGAGGGGGCAGCTGAGGACCAGGTGGTGAAATGGGGCCGCTGGCTTTTCAGCAAATGTAATCATGCATTCCAACACTTCACTTCCTGGATGCTCAAAACCGATCAGTATTTCATCCTTCCTTGGACCAAACATTTCTCCTTCGACATTTCATGCTAATTACTTTTGCATGGTGGATGACTTCTCGTGATTTAATAGAGCATGAAATGGCGCTGGGACACACCTGCTTAATATTGTTTCTTTCAATTTTAGAACATGCTCATTGCTGTAGCGCTCACTTATTTCTTTATAAAAATTAATTTGGAAGGAAAGCGTCCGTCTGAGGGAAATAACCCTCCTTGGGTTAGCTGTCAGACTTGTCTCCAAAAATGCTACAGAAACACTTGAGAAAACATAAGACACCCCCGGAGGGAACACGCATTAAAGTCTCAACTGAGATAGAGCTTGTCGTATCTTTAACAACCCGGTGATTTTTGCGCCTGGTGGCCAGACCTCAAGAGTCGAGCAGAGAGCCCGTGAACATCTCTGTGTAACTTTAATTAACAAACTACTTCAAGTTGTAAATGTGTTGAAGGTTAGGAGGGGATGACTCGGTGATCCGCTGACTTCTCATCTAAAAAAAGTTAACTTGTTCAGTAAAATATCCCAAAATCTACATCATGGATTAGCAGACAATGTCGCACAGATATTCATGACTCCTAGACAATTAATTGTAACTATTTGATACATTCAGGCCCCCCTAAGAATTAATTGTAAGAACTTATGAGTATCATTAATATGTCAATTTTGGTTTAAGACCAAAACCTGCAAAACTGCCAACATTCACACCAGCCCTGGCTGACACTTTGTCAACAACAATTTGTCTTTAGTACTAATAAGCTAATATTAGCATGGAAACATGTCTAAACTAAGACTGTGAAAATGGCAAAGATTAAACCATTTTAACATTGACATTGTGAGCATGCTAGCATTAGCATTAAGCTCTATTGCTTCGGTGCCTGAGTACATCCTTGCTGAGAGACGAATGTGGCTCTTGATTTAACTTTAAATATAACAATTAAATTAATTTTGTGGAAACATTCTATGGTATTGAATGCTTGAGGGTGTGAAGAAAATGCCTTGACGTAGCTTTTATCCCATAGAGATTAATTTTTTTCAGCACCAACACAGTTCCTCCAAGAGTAGCTGGGGGGTTTTCTAAGTCATGCACATTAGACTAAAGGCAAGGTTGCCCCAGTTTTGTTTTTTCGGGGCAAACAACACAGATAAATCTGACACTGTGGTTCATACAGTTTCACCAGCTCTTAGCAGCTTGGCCTTCTCACCCCCTTCTGCTGCAGTCTACGTGGGTGGGCCCTTCTGGGTTCAAATCCCCCACAGACGATAGAACTCAAAAGGTCCCGTAATCACTTTTTTCCCTCCTCGCTATGTCAGTCTGCTGTGAAGAGTAATCTCTGTCTGACGATCGCAGAGAGCATGTTGTTCAGGGATACGGTAGGTTTGGACGTCGGCTGATTAGATTATGAAAATGTCTTCTTTAGCGGTGACAGATACCACCTGGGGGGATTATGGGAAGAGTCAGTATGAGCTTGGAGCCTAGAGTGGTCTCCAGCGTAATATACTTTTCACCTTTGTCAGCTCTCAGCTCCCTATCCGGATATATTGGCTGCCTGGGGAGGTTGTAGAAAAACACAACATTGTCCTCAGATGAGATGCTACATGGGTGGCTGGATCTCCTCAAACAATGATGAACGCAGTGAACTTCAAAGAGCATGTTTAAACTAGGATGTTAAAGGAATATTTGTCATGGGAGGTGGAGTTTAGGAGAAGCAAATCAACCAAAAGACATATATCAAAGAAAGTGGTGAGGACTATGCTTTCCCAGTTTCAGATGCCACCATCCAAATTAAGTTCCATAAAAGTACCACATGTACAAAAATCTTCAAATGAAAACAAATAAAATTATTTTATTCAAGAACGATTGAATCAGATTGATACTTATTTCAGTCTTTACAGCTGAAGAATGAAGGAAGCGGTGCTAAAGTTTTTCTCATAAAGCTGTTTTACTGGACTGGGTGGCATTGCTCCATCCATCATCATGTCGTTAGCGAGCGATTCCCAGGAACTCACAGGATTTCTATTTGTAGAATGTAAGGATATTTTGAGAGTGACTGCACCATGGTGATGTTATTTGTTGTCCTGAAATGCAATGGGGCTGCCTGTGCCATACAGTGGGCAATAAAAACTATGCATCCACCTTGGACTTTTCTTGCCACAAAATGAGTGAAAAAACACATTTATTGGGGAATTTCAGAGTGAAAGTTCATGACATTTATGTGAAAGTATAAAATCGAATTCCAACAAAAATATGTTTAGCACATGTAAATTGTAAGTAGTCAAAATCTGAGGTTGGCTGTTTATTCTTGACCTTGGAAAAAGCAGCTAAGATTAGTTTCTCGCCACAAGGTCCTTTAAGCAGCAGCTACAGAGCTTTCAATCGATCACATGGGCTTCATCAGCGAATTAAATCTCTTCTCTCTGTGATGTTTAAAACGTCAAGAATGTACCTCAGTTTTTAAGCCAACATGGACAAAATGTCTAGTTATAGTCCTACATATTTAATTCTGGTTGATTTGGCGACACCTGTGGTTCCTGTTCCTTTTACGACAAGAACATCTTAATGAAACAAGTCTTTATTTATTTAGTATATAGGTCTATATCATCACGTTATCTGTCAGAGGTACAGTATACATTCTAATTCTTGTTTGTTTTATTTTAGTACCTTCTATTCCTCAGGAAATATCAAAATCCCATTTAGGAAAAGCATATTAAGAGTTATTTTTAGGTGTATGGTCCATTCTACCTTATAATACCAGAACAGAATGTGAAATGTCTGTGGTACCTGGAAGAACTTCGATTCCAGTTCCTGGAGTCTCATATAAAAATGTCATGTCATGGTTCTTCTAACACTATAAAACTACAGAGAAAGCCATAAAAGTTAAATTTGTGGTCAATTGGACAGAAATAGAATCTCACCAAACTCTCCATAAAGACCAGCTCAGTGACGAATCAATCAACAAAGTCAAGCAAATCAAAGTTTTCCTGGACTGACACAGACTGCATAATGCCTTCAGTAGCTGAATTTATTTCTCCAAAACAAGCAGAACATAAATGTTTTCATATGCATCCACTGCCCTCACTGCTTTATTTAACCAAATTAGTGAGTAACCTATAATTTACAGACAACATCACAGACGCCGAAGAGAGGCCTCGGCCTGTGTTTTCATGACAAATAAGGGCTGGAACACAGACGGCTGAGCACCAAAATTCTGTTGAGTCACTCCCACGCTGAAAGTAATGAACTGTATTTTTAAGAGAGAGTCCCAGACCACTGAGGGTGTAGACTGTAAACAAAAAGAGACACCGTGTGAGCGCACGACACAATTTTGGGAAAGATTTGCTTAATGGAAATGTCACGTCTTGGAATGGCACAGAGGAGGATTTCGGCTCACAGTCTTCCACACGGCCGATGTCAGAGCTTCGTCCGAAGGCAAAAAAACTCAGAATGGTATCACACCAGCATCTGCTCAGGCCAAACACCAGCCTGCTTTCATTTGGTTTTTTTTGAGGAAGATGGGCGGGGGTGTTCTCTTCCCTTATCCCACCAGCTTCCTGACAGCCACAGTAAACACGGGCCCTCTGAAAGGTCACACTGTTTGTCACCCTTGGGCCCCTGCGAGAAGCTCTGCTCTCATAAATGTTAATGGCCACTGTACCAAATGGGGCCACTGACTGTTAACAAGGAGTGTTAAGGATGTTCCTTTTAACGCTGCGAGAGGCTCCTCCACTGTGGGGCCATGGGAAAACAGAGAGGGCGAGCCTGGAAAAGTGTGGCCTCTGCTCCATATGGATCTTCTTAGCCCAAAGTGACTGGATCTGATCCCGCATGGCTTTGATTGCCAGGCGCTCACTTTGGCTCTGAGAGTGAAATCAGCGATAGCAGGCAGTTTCACTGCCAACCACATGAGCTTTCCACCTGAATAACCAATGACTGTAAATTCTCCTCAAATGATTGATTACCCTCCAGCCACTCCAACCCTTCAAGGCACCCAGCTGGCCTAATACTGTATAGTTGGTCTTGTTTATCAGTTGGCCCCAGACAGCTTATGTAACAGTCTTTATCTGAGCCAAACAGACTAGCTACACCATGCTTTCTCATGGTGTCTATTCCATGAAGCTCACAAACCCCCTACCCCCTCGTAAAAAACAAAAAAAGTAATAGCCACAGCACATCTGGTTGTCCGCTGATTTCAACAGCAGCCAAATGATACGCATGCAGCAGCCAGGATGAGCAAAAAGAAGCTTTGTTTTGGTCCAAGACAACCATGAGTCTAGGAACTGGGGATACAAGTAGGGAAATCTTTGGAGGTACGTTTGCTTGATTTAGAATGATAAAATAAAAAAAAATCCAAGCCTTTCATTACTTGGCATTCCTGAGTATGAAATATTCTCTCTCTCAAACCCAAATA